CGGCGCTCGCTTGCCTGCGGCGCTCGCTTGCCACATACGTTAGTTCATCTCTTACACAGATTGATACTAGTTATTCTATCTTAGTATAGAATTAATTGTTTATTCTTTTAGTTAAATCCTATAACTCTTTTCTACATAGCACTTTGCAAACAATCACACAGACTACCGCTTTAGTCTACTCGCCCTAACCTAGACTAAGACTAGAGAAGTATAGCCAACCCCCGTGTAACACTTTGACCACTACCAAGTCTTTGTGGAAGGATTAACTAATAGTATACCTAATTAAGATTCACAATGTCTTATAATCACTCTTAATCCTAGGCTAGTGCCGGCGGACTAGTACAAGGTCCTGGACCAGTGCCCCAACTAGCATTCAACGACGAGATGCTGACCCCAAGTAACGACGAAGATAAGGACAAAGACGCACAAAACCTACGAGAGTTGCGGAATCTTAGGCGACAGGCCACGATCACGCAGCAGCAGATAGCTAGCATGCAGGATATAATTAATTAGCTTTTAAGTCAGCTAATGGCCACCCTAAATAAGAAGAGATCCCTCACGAAGCCTAAGATAGCGGCACCTAAGAAGTTCAACAGAACCTATACCAAACTATGGACATTCCTTACTAACATTAACTTATACTGCGAGTACAACGGAGTACTAACAGACTAGGATAAGATCCTTGTAACAAGTACCTACATAAAAGGCAGGGCGGCCAAATAGATAGAACCCTATGTCAAGGACTTCCTGAAGGACGCAGACAACCTAGGAACCAAAAGCGAAACCTAAGGAATATTTAGAAACTGAGATAACTTCAAGAAGGAGATGGGACGAATCTTTAGGGAAATAGATAAAAAGAACCAAGCAGAGAAGGCAATTACTTGCTTAAAGCAGACTAAGTTAGTCTTAGCATATACGGCAGAGTTTAAACAGCTACAGGCAAGAATTAATTAGGATAATGCTGCGCTGCGAACTATGTTTAAGAGCGGTCTAAAGGAAAATGTTAAAGATAGTCTTGTACACCATAAAAAGCTAGAAACGCTTTATGCTCTAATAGAGCTAGCCACGCGAATTAACTATAGGCTGTAGGAAAGATACAAGCAAAGGAAACGCTTATTCTAGCCTACGCCAGCAAACACGAGGAAGCAACGTCATAGTAAAGACAAGGATAGCGACACTATTATAATAGGCAAGGTGCAAGAAAACAAGAGCTAGAACACCTAAAGAAAGGGCTAGGACAGTCTTTCTAAGGAAGAACGCTAAAGGTGTTACAACAACAAAGCATATCTCTAATGTAGCAAACAAGGACACTTTGCTAGAGACTATTCTAACGAAGTTAAGCAAGGTCAAATCAAGATTAGGATAATTAGGTACAGAACACCCTACCTACGGGACATAGAACCTAACAACACGCTTAGCGACCTAAACTTGTATAAGGAGGCACGACAGGAGTTAGACAAGGCCTTTAAGATAATACAAGAAGCTATAGGTCTAAAGGACTTTAAGTGGGATAACCTACTACCAACAGACTATAGGGTTAAAGGGGCCGAAGTACAGCGCCGCCTAAGAAACCGACTATGCTAGATGTGTGGAGACGCCACATACTAGGCTAATAATTGCGCTCTTAAAGACCAAATTATTATCATAGGACCAAACTCTGAAGAGATTGGATATTAAGCAGTTCACAAGCAACCCAGCTTTAGAGACCTAGAAGCCAAGGTCAAGAGAAACAAACCTCACACGTTCAAGGAACAGATAGAGCAACATAAGCACCTACATTAAGTCGACTATAAGGCACAGTGTAACTACCACCTAAGGAAACGCAAAGAAACTAGGGACAATAAGGACAATTGCTGCTATACGCAATTATAGTACAATAAGTGTTAAGTAGATAGATGCCACATACACTAACAAAAAAAGCAGCAAGCACACTAGGAGCTATGTTGGTTCTAGTGCAAGGAGAACTACGAGTACTATAAGAAGCAACGACGAAATGCTTAAAAGGTAGACGACTTCTACTATAGCATAATAACAGCGCAAGAATACATAGCAAAGAATTGTCGCATGCACTAACGGGAAACACTAAAGGTAACAACAACACGGATGCAAGCTATATTAGCTGCGACAGCGGGACTAGTTCCCCACGAGTATATGCATTAGTCCTTTTGCTATAACTATGCATGCTAGGCGCATTTTAATGCTAAAATAGACAATAGGTACTTCTCTAAGAGAAAGGGAAGACAGTTAAAAAACTAGGACGCTACTAGGGATAGAGTCACGCTGGTGTAGGTAGTCTAAAAACGACCTATGTAGGAGTTAAGAGCGTAGGGACGCAGGATCTTAGACTCTAAGCGATAGTCCTCGTGAATAGACATCGTGTGACAGCGACTATAGACAGTGGTGCTGCACGAACCATGATCTCACCCAGGGTGGTGGAGATGCATGAGATACCCTATCGGACCAAGAAGGTGCTAATGCGAGCGGTATTAGCCGATGATAGCCCAATCGCGTACAGGAACGGCATGATAAGACTAGAGACTAAGCTAGTGCCAATAGATTTGGCAGGGACGGAAAGTCAAGAGATAATTAATATCATAGATCTTGGTAAGAAAGACATGTTAATAGGCTACGACTAGTTGTTGAAGTACAATCTAGCTATTAATTAGTGGAAACGAATAATACTTAGAAGAGAACCTATGCACAAGGTTGCTAGAGTACAAAAAGAGTTAAACCCGATTATCTAGAGCTCACCTAAGGACGAGAGGATAGGTACAATCTCACCACATAAGATCGCGAGAATCTATGTAAAGGACCCTTAGAAAGTAGGAGTTATTTAGTTAAAACGGGTCGCGACTACAAAAGAAGGACTAGTACTATAGTTGGCGATACTAATAGAATACTAGACGAACGAGTTTAAAGAACTATTTAAGGAAAATAAAGCAACAGACCTAGCAGAACACCAGGACTAGGATCATGAGATCGTCCTTGAAGATAGAGCTAAGTTAAGCCTAGGAGGAATATACCCTATATCACCTAAGCACAACGCTAAGTTGCAGGATTACCTCTAGAAGAATTTAAAAAAGGGATTTATTAGACTAGGACATGGCCTAATAGCCTCTCTAATTCTGTTTGTAAAGAAGCCGAACGGGAAGTGGCGACTATATGTTGACTACCAACGGTTGAACGCGGTCACGGTAAAGAACTGATATCCCTTACCACTTATAGGAGAGCTCATGGATTGACTCTAGGGAGCTAAGTGGTTTACAAAAGTCGACGTACGGGAAGGGTTTTACCGTATTTAAATTAAGAAAGGACATAAGTAGAAGATGGCCTTTAAGACAAAGTATGGACTGTATAAGTACACAGTTATGCTATTCGGACTAACGAATGCGCCAGCAACGTTTTAGTTGGTGATTAATAAGGCACTCTACGAATACTTAGGAATCTTTGTTACAGCCTACCTAGACGATGTATTAGTATACACCAATAGTACGCTAGAAGAACATGTTAAACATGTCAAGAAGGTACTGCAGAAGCTTAAGGAGTACAAGTTATACTTATAGTCTAGCAAGTGCGAATTCTATACGAAGGAAACTAAGTACCTAGGCTTTATTATCTTAATAGAAGGTGTTAAGATAAATCTAAAGAAGATCTAGACTATACAAGAATAGCCAACCCCTAAGATAGTTAAAGACGTGCAATCCTTCCTAGGATTTGCGAACTTTTACTAAAAGTTTATTAGAAACTACTTCTAGATTGCTACCCCTCTTATAGAGATTATAAAAAAAGAAGTTAGGTTTAAATAGACTTAAGACTGCTAGGAAGCGTTTAAGACGCTTAAGCAGGCATTCTTGGAGGCGCCCGTACTAGAAATGTACGACCTAAGACGAGAGACGCGAGTCAAGACCAACGCGTTAGATTATGCACTTGGAGCTATATTGTCACAGCAGTGCCTAAACAAGAAATAGAGACTAGTGTTCTACTATTCACGGAAGTTCTTAGGAGCAGAACTAAATTACAATATTCACGATAAGGAACTACTAGGAGTAGTTAATGCCTTTAAACAGTAGGAGGTGTATTTGTTAGGCTTGCCCCACATAATTAAAGTGTTTTCTAATTACTAGAATTTAACGAGTTTCATAACAACAAAGAAACTTAACTAACGACAAGTCTAATAGGCTAAGATGCTAGCTTAGTTCAACTTTAAGATCACCTACTAAGCTAGATCGCTTAACGGGGCAGCAGATGCCCTAAGCCGTAGATCAGATCTACGAGAAGATGATCATAAGGAACCGCACGATGCAGTATTTAAGCAGATGCCCTAAGCCGTAGATCAGATCTACGAGAAGATGATCATAAGGAACCGCACGATGCAGTATTTAAGCAGATGCCCAATAGCAGCTTAAGATATAACCAGCCGGAACTAGCTAAGGTAGCCAAGGTAGCCGCGCAGGTAGAAACCCTACAGCAGCAATAGCAGCAGAGAGCAGCCAGCTGGCAATTCGAGCCTGACGCCGAAGGCTCCAATGAATTGCTACAGGACGAACGAGAGTACCGAGATATGGTTTCGAAGGATCGAACATATGTACCTCCACATATAAGATTAAGTCTTATTAAAGAACTACACAAGTCCCTAAAGTACAGACATGTAGGAATAGAAGAAATAGTTAGAAGACTAGCAAAGGTGTTTGCTATACCACGCTTGCGAGCGAAGGTGTAGGATACCTTAGGCAACTATTTAGCCTACTATTGCAATAAGCCTAAAAGACATAAGCCTTATAGCCTATTATAGCCCTTATAGCCACTAACACAACTATAGACTAGTGTCACGATAGACTTTATAGTAAAGCTCCCAGTATTGTTAGAACCTAGGTCTAACTGACTTTGTAACACAATACTAGTAATCGTAGATTGATTAACTAAGGCAGCAAAGTTTGTGCCAATAAAAGAGGCTATTACGGCAGACGAATGCGCGTACGAAGTAACTAAGGCACTAGTATTAGAGCACAGGGTGCCTAAAGAATTTATAACAGACCAAGATAAGCTATTTACGTCCAAGTATTAGGACACATTCCTAGCAAAATTGGGAGTCAAGAAGAAGCTATTAACTAGCTTCTATCCCAAGACAGACGGCCAGACGGAACGAACGAACCAGACTTTAGAGCAGTACCTAAGGATGTACGCCAACAAGCTGCAGGACAACTAGGTTAAACTTCTGCTAATAGCACAATTAGCCTACAATAGCTTAAAGTCCGCTACAATAAAGAAGTCACCGCACTACGCAAACTACAGGTATAAGCTAGTTGCTTATTAAGACCCTAAAGATATTAAGAGTATTGCAGTAGGCACAGACAATAAAGCACAACTAATGCAAGAATTGCATGCAGAACTAAGCAAGAGTATTGCTTAACAGAACCTCACAATAGCACGAGCTACGAATAAGCAAAGGATTAAAGGACTAACCTTTAAGAAGGGAGACAAAGTTTTCTTGTTAAGACAAAACCTAAAAACTAAACGACTATGCAGAAAATTAGACAACCTCTAAGTAGGACCATTTAAGATCCTAGAGGAAGTTAGGAAAGTAAATTACAAGTTAAAACTCCTACTAGGCATGCGAATCCACCCTATCTTTTATAAGAAACTACTAGAAAGAGCACCTTTAGACGCCAAGCTAGCAATAGATATAGAGCTCAAAGACAATAAGTACAAGGTCAAGGAAGTTAAGGACCTGCGGAAAATTAGTAGTTAGTGGAAGTACTTAGTCAAGTAGCAAGGATGGCCTAAGAGCTATAACACTTAGGAACCTAAAGGAAACCTAACGAACTGCAAGTCACTAGTACGTAAGTACTATTAGAAGCATCTACAGAAGCGAGAACTAGATTCTTGTAGGAAAGGAAGAAGTCAAGGGATAAAGGATTAAAAGAAGAAGAATTAGCCTATAACTAGCCTAGGTTAGTCGACTATGCGGGTAGCGAAGGTCCGGCTGATGGAAGGTCCGTACCAGGGGCAGAACTCCCCTCGACTTTCTCTTTCGCACGATCCTGGAACTTAAGGACGGCAAGATCGCGACGAGCGAAGGAACGCTCTCGGGACTTCACCTCTAAAAGCGCCACCTCTTGCTAGGACAACTGCGCATCTAGCTGAGCGCGCTGAGCCCTTAAACGAGCGACCTCAAGCTCCTTCTACTCGCGCTCCTGTTGCACTTTCTCCCACTCTTCCTTAGAAACAAACAAACTGCACTTAGCTTTTATAGAAATACAACTAGCGCAACGCCTAGTAGTAGTGTCTACAAAACAACGAAGGTTCTTCTCTTTACAACAAGAACAGCGATAAATGGTTATCTCGTTCCCCTGCTCTATTACACGATCAGCACAGGAATAACGCTCTTCGTTCGACTTTTAAGCGCGAACACGGGCATAGAAGGACAGGACCTTAGGCATGGTTAGAAAAGCTGGAGAAAAGGGACGGATATAATAGCCTAGGGCCTACTAACCTTATATGCAGCCAGCGCTTTAACACGCGGCACAGCAAAACAATATTCTAGGGTATTAGGACGATACGCCTAAGAGAGGGGATAATGTTACTCGTAACAAGAAGTATTCTCTCCTTGACGCAGGATGATAGGGTTAGGGGCCAACCACGTCCACGTCAGAAGGTAATAGCTATCGCGGGGCTTGGAGTCACGTGATGTGCCATCCCGCCAAGACAGGACATCCCGCCAAGATGGGGATGGCAGCAGGACATGGGATGGCAGGACCTAAGGCAATGGGTATAAGAATGGGTTGGATTTCATTATTACACTCGTTGTGGTCAACTTTAGAATAGTTCATCTCTTACACAGATTGATACTAGTTATTCTATCTTAGTATAGAATTAATTGTTTATTCTTTTAGTTAAATCCTATAACTCTTTTCTACATAGCACTTCGCAAACAATCACACGGACTACCGCTTTAGTCTACTCTGTAACGGCGCAGGTAAGGCAGGTCGGATCTGTTTCGGTCGTAGGATCACTCAGAGGCATATGGGAGTGCGTGGGATCACAAAGAGCCTAGATTCAACAAGCCACCTATAGGCCTTGTACGAAAGGATATCAAAAGTCTACAGAGCTAGCTACAGGGAGTGTCTCAATATATACCTATCCTAGTCGGGTCCGAATTCGGAT